TGTGATCCTTACTAGCTGGAAGTAAGGGAGATGGGGCATGAAGTTATTTCTAGGAGTTGGAGACATACCCGCTTTAGCTCAGTTCTGGGAATCTTTGAAAGTCCTATACAAACTTGTTCCTACATAGTAGCTTGCAACTTGGAATGAGAAAGTGCTTGCTTACAGCAACGTGCTATATGTTCTGAATGCCCGAATTGGGAATCTGTGTCAAAACAGAGTTTTATTGAATGATTTCCATATTGAGTTTTAATTTTTAACTTAGTAGAAGCAAATAATGCCTATTGACCAATTAAAGACTAAATTATGACCCCTGTCTGTAAATTGAAAGAATAACTAAAATTAAGACACTTAAAAGACACTCTATTTTATTTGAGGAAAACATCTTTTATAATACTTTATTAAGAATATAATCAGTTTATTGAATTATTCTTGATTCGTGGTTGAAAATAATTGGGTAGAGGAATTGTTTGACAAGACGATAATTCTTTAAAGACAGTACGTATAGAATCATATTTCTGAAATAGAGGTTTTAAACATCTAAGGAATCTAATATATCCAGAGTATTTGCAAAATACCCCAAAATATATGAACTACTAATAATTGGCAGAAGTAGAATTCTCATTTACTTTTTTGGAGGACCTCCTCAGGCTTTCTATTAGTGTAAATTAACTATTAATTCAAATATAGTTTTAAGAGAAAAAGCACAAATGTGGTATGCACTAGGATATCCGCTACAACATTGGTCATCAACAGTGAAAAACTGGAAAGCGCCTTAATGCTCATCAGTAGGGGAATGGTTAAATAAATAAATGGTTCATCATAAATGGAATACTGTGCAACTTTTTTTTTATAATTAAGGGAGAGCTACATGTACTAATATGAAATGATCTCTGAAGCAAATTGCTAATTGGAAAAAGCAAATGTGTGCATAAAATGATTCCATTTATATTTATTTAAAGCTATACGTACATGTACATATTTGAATGTGTAAATGCATAAAGTAAATCTGAGAAAATAAATTTTAAACTGTTACCTCTGGGAAAAAGAATATGATTGAATGAAAAGAGATGAAAGGTAAATTTTGTTTTTAATATACATTCTCTGTATTTTATGAAGTTTCCTCTTGAGCCTAAATATTAATTTGTAATTTTTTTTAAAAAGCCAGAAAAAAATTTAATGTGCTTCAGTTATACCTACTGTATTTTTATCTGGTCTAAAAACTGATGGTTACAACTACTGCATTAATAAGAATGGTTAATTTACATTTTCTGTGCCTTGTTTTAGAGGTTAGACATATATATTTAAAATGTTTCCATCAAAATTATGTACCCATAGGGCAAGCTTCCATTTTCAGTTGTTTTAAATGAAGGAGAAATAGTATACTAATATATTTTTCCTCTGGGGATAATAAATATAGGTATTTATTGGCAAACTAAATTTTGTGTTCTATTTGAGAATATGCTGAATTAACAAATTTTGTACTCTGTTTATAATTTATAATAAAACAACCTAACTAAAATATATGTATTGATTTTGCCTTTAGCCCCTGCAAGTAAAACCACTCTACAGAAGACTGGAATTGCAAGCAACATTCTGGATGCAATCTCTCAGGGAAATGAATCACAACACACATTGGAAAAGTGCATTGCTTATTCTCATCCTTTTGGTGATTATGCACAGGTAAATGATTCTCAGGTTTTGATGATATATAGAAATATATAGTTCAACTATATATATAGCTGGTTCAACTATATACTGAAGTCACTCAGTGTGAAATTGTGGTTCCTGTAATATCATAGCAAAGTAAAGTTGCAGTGATCTACACAATATTTTTTGCACACCATTTGGAATTTTAGGACATGTTCAAGAGATTAAGTATCATTTTGCACTAGATATTTACCTCTCATTGTTTATAGTAGTGGTCAGCAAACTACAGACCAAATCCACCCCACCACATGTTTTGTAAATAAAGTTTTATTGGAATACGGCCACGTCCGTTTGTTTACATATTGTCTATGGTTTGTTGTGCAACATTGGCAGAGTTAAGTAGTTACAGCAGAGACTATATGTCCCGCAAGATTAAATATTTACTATCGAGCTCTTTACAGAAAAACTCTGTTGACCTCTGGTTTAAGAAACCCAAGGAAATGCCTCTGTTCTTTACCACTGCTTATGGATATAGAAACTTGATCATGATTATAGACACTATTATGCTAACTTTCAAATCTATCAGTCAATATCATAAAAAGTATTATATTCAAAAGATGTACTGTGTCATTACTTAAATATGTCAATTTTGCCTGGTGGCCTAAGCTGAGAGTACATATCATGTTAGCAGTATATGATTATGTAGTCATGAGAGTCTTATAATTATAACGGTTCTGATTCTTATTTCTCAGAGCAGTCAGCTTCTTCTCAGTTCTATCCAGTCGGTAGGAGAAATGCCTCCACTTTGATTTCCTTGGAGCAAGTGAGTTTGCCTCACCTGTCTCTAATAAACTTAGAAAAGAAAACTATGTGAATTCATTTAGAACAACTGATGCCTGATTTTGCTTTTAGGATAGGGTACTAGAAACACAAGTCAAATAGATTCCATAGAAATGGTGCAGCTGGATATTAGCAAAATATATAGTAAAGGCTCATACACCTGTGGAGAAGGTGGAGCGAAATAGGTTGGAAGATGATGTAACTAGGTGGCAACATATCGATATTTAAGGAATAGTAATCATGAATTGATACAGTCTGGAAGGCATTCTCTCATATTTTTCATGAGACTCCATCTTTGTTCCCTTATTAGTTAACATTTTAAGTAATGACTTAGATAAGGACCTTGATTGTATGCTGCTTATATATACAGGTGACAAAAGCTAAGGAAATTATCAAGGATGTGTTAAATCATTTATGAATAATTTATAGTTGTGAAAATTAGAAATGACTTAAATTTCCAACAATTTATAAGACTAAGTAAACAAATTATGTCGTATTTATCCCAGGAAATACAATGCAAATATTAAAAATCATGTAAAACAATATGTAAACACATGGTAAATGTTTCATAATCTATTTCTAATCTTAAACATTTATAAAATATAGTGCTCTACAATTTGAATTTTTTTGTCTCTTTTTTTTTTGTGAGGAAGATCGGCCTTGAGCTAACATCTGCCAATCCTCCTCCTCTTTTTGCTGAGGAAGACTGGCCCTGGGCTAACATCCATACCCATCTTCCTCCACTTTATATGGGACACCGCCACAGCATGGCTTGCCAAGCAGTGTGTCGGTGCGCACCCGGGATCCGAACCGGCGAACCCTGGGCCGCCGCAGTGGAGCGCACGCACCCAACTGCTTGCGCCACCGGGCCGGCCCCTGAATTTTTTTGTCTCTTTGCAATGATCAAAATTTACTTTTATAAACAGGAGGATGCACAATAAATTTTTTAAAATTTAGTTAAATATATGATGTAAGCTTTAAAAATTAAATTTTTTTGTGTGTGTGTGAGGAAGATTGGCCCTGAGCTAACATCCGTGCCCATCTTCCTCTACTTTATATGGGACGCCACCACAGCGTGGCTCTACAAGCAGTGCGTCAGTGTGCGCCCAGGATCCGAACCAGCGAACCCTGGGCCGCCGCAGCAGAGCGCACGCACTTAACTGCTTGTGCCACCAGGCCGGCCCCTAAAAGTTAATTTTTAGACTTAACCTTTTCATTTATTTTATTTCACTTTTGAAATTTGTCTTTTCTCATTAGCAGTTTTGCTTATTAGTTTACTGTGGTTTCTTGTATACTTATCGTATCCACTTACACGTGGAGAAGTTCTGTGATAAACATGACTTGTGTTGCCAGCCTTCCCCGTGCCTCCGCACTTGCTCACCCAGAGATCCTGTGGCTCCTGCCTGGCTCAGTGTCCGCCTGGACAGTCCCTGCTGTTTCCTCATGCTTGTGCATGAAGTGACACATGTTCTCTCTCTCGTGTTCTTCCATCCTTAGAAAGTCAACTTAATTCGATGTTACTAATGGAGTAAAGCTACTGGTAAAAGGTGGGCATGTTTTAGGAATTCCTTCTGCCATTTCCCCTGCTGCAATGGAGGAAAGAAACCATTTTTTGTTTTGTTTTTAACACTTGCTATACACTTTGCAGTGTAAGCATTTAATCTTTAACAATCTTGTGAGATTTAAATAACCACCTCCACAATATAAGTGGAAAAGCGTAAAGGCGTAAATAACCCTTCTAAGTTCAGGCAGTTAGTAAACGACTTCTCTGATTCCAAAGTCCACATTATTTCCATTGGACCGTGGAGAAGTTTCTTCAGGCATGGAAGTAGTGTCTCATGGAAACTGTTTGGTTGGTTGTTTTGTATTGGCTGTTATTATGCATAAGGATGAGGAGAGATGGATATGTAAAGATATAGATGGATATAATTATCCCTATTTCCAATAAAACTATCACATTTAAAATCCTAATTGGCATTCCAAGATTGGTGAAGTTGCTTGTATCAGATTATCTTCCTGCAGATAATTGTTATTACAATTGTATTACATATGAAAGAAAAACAACTCTTTGAAGGCCCTGGAGAATGACCAAAAGCAGGCAGAAACTGAAGGAGAATCAGTCCTTGAGAGACGGAAACTCCCCGGGATGAGATTTGTGTTTCCATGGTTTTTTGCCTAACACCACCCCCGGCCGGGTCCATGTGGAAAGGTGCAGTCTTGCCGGCTGATGGAGTTGGAGGACAGAGCTCAGGACTGTTAGCAGGACTGAAAAGTAGGGGGAATCCCATGGAAAGGGGGCTGCATGAGAAGGAGCCTCAAAATCTCTGTGTAAACTCAGCCGAAATACACTTGACTGACTCCTGAGCTGTGTGTTTGAGGGAGGCTCCAGGGCACCTGGTGGAACACAGATGGGAGGCTGAGGACTGTGAAGAGATTCAACTCCTCCCCAGCAGAGAGGAGAGAGTTTGGAGTTGGAGTTCAGAAAAGTTAACTCCTTCTTACAACAAGAATCAACAATCTCCAGAGGAAGATTATACAGTCCATAGTCTTTGTGATCTATCATCCACAATGTCGAGTAAACAAAAATAACTAGATAGTTGAAGAAACAAAAAATGTGACACACAATTAAGTGGAAAAGCAATGAATAGAAACTGACCCCAAGGATGACCCAGATGTTGGTCTGAGTAGACAAAGACTTATTTAAAACAGCAGTTATAAATATGTTCAAGAACTTAAAGGAATATAAGGTCAAAATGAACAGAGGGAATTTCAGGAAGAAATATAAACTAAAAAAGAAGTATAGAAACTCTAGAACTGAAAAGTATAGTATCTGGAAAAAAGTACACTGGATGGGCTTAGCAAAAGATTGGAGAAAGCAAGACAAAAGGTTCAATTAACATAAAGACAAATCAAAAGAAATAATTCAATCTGAAGAACACAGAGGTTGAAAACCTGAGGGACAATATCAAGCAATCTAAAATAAGTGTAATTGGAATCCCAGGAGGAGAGGAGAAAGACAAATGGGGCATAAAATATTTGAAAAATAGTGGTAAAAAATTTCCCAAATTTGATTAAAAAACCTTACAGATCTAACAGGCTCAGAGACCTCCCCTGCAAAGCAGGATAAATAAAAACAAAATTTTATCTAGGCAGATTAGTTAATATGCTGAAAACCAGAGTTTTAAAGAGATTATCTTGAAAGCAACCAGATAAAAACTGCGCACCTTATCTTAAGACAGAGCTTCTCAACTTTGGCACTATTGACATTCTGGGCTGGGTGATTCTCTGTTGTGGTGGGGGTCTCCTGTACATTGTAGGATGTTTAGCAGCATCCTTGTCTTCTATCCATTAGATTGCCCCTCATTCAGAACAGCTATGTTGAAACAACTGGTAAATATGTGGGTAAATAAAAAATATGTATTTTCTCTTTTCTTAATTTATTTAAAAGCAAAATTATAACAGTACATTGTGGGGTTTATAATGTACGTAGATAGAACATGTTTGACATCAACAGTCTGAAGGACAGTATGGGGTGAATGAAATTACGTTTGTGGGATTATTACATTTTACACGAAGTAGAACAGTGTTAGCTCTAAGTAGACTGTGCTAAGTTATGGAATGCATTTTGTAATCCATAGAGCAACCATTTAAAAATACACAGAAGTATAACTAAAATGTCAATAGTTTCATTACAATGGAATTCTGAGAACATTTGATTAAACGAAAAAATGTCAGGAAAGGAAAAAGAAAACCAATTAGGATGAATAGAAAACAAATAGGTTAAGTGGTAAACCTCAATTGAATGATGATAATAGTTAAATGAAAATGGACCACATGTTCCAAGTAAAACACAGAGGTTGTCAGAACAAGGCAGGAATGTACACTTTTACAATTTCTGTTCAACATTTTACTGGAGGTTTTAGTGCAAAAAGGTTTTTTTAAAAAAAAGTAAGAAATAGGAAAAGTAAAAATGTCTCTCTGCATATGACATGATTGTTTACATGAAAAATCCTTAAGAATCTAAAAAGCAGCTGCTAAAAATAATAAGTAAACTTTGCAAAGTCACAAGATAGAAAGGCAGTGTGCAAAAAGGAATTGTATTTCTATGTACTTGCAACAAACAATTAGAAAATAATGTTTTTAAAAATTTCCGTTTACAACAGCATCAAACATGAAATGCACAGTAACAAATT